CCGAAAGGGTGCCAGGGGTCACCAGGTCCGCGCCTTTTACTTTCCCCGGTGCCTCTGCTAGGCGGGGGTCGGGAGCAGTAGGTGCGAAGAGATGCGGGTGCAGCAGAGCGCACCGGCGTCTCCCAGGCGCGGCGGTGGAGTAGGCCCCGGGACAAGCTGCGGCGGGGCAGGGGCCCCAAGCAGAAGGCCCGGGGGGGGTTGTGCAGGGCGGCAGGAGCAGCTGGTAGAGGGAAGGGTGGGGTAGGTGGTGGGCTCTCGAGGTCGGTTGGTGGCGCTTGAAAACGCTTCCTGCGCCGGAGAAAGCTGCCATTGTCGAACACTGTCCTGGGAGGCGGGGTCCAGGCTCCAGTAGTTGCCCTTGCCGGGTGGCCCGGCTCGCGGGGATCTTGACGAAGCAGTCGTTCAGCGAGAGGTTGTGGCGGATGCTGTTCTGCCAGGCGGGGAACTTGCGGCGGTAGTAGGGAAAGCGGCCGCTGATGAAGGCGCAGATGCCGCTGAGCGTGAGGCGCTTGTGCGGGCTCTGCAGGATGGCCATGGTGATCAGCGCGATGTAAGAGTAGGGGGGCTTTGCCGGCTGCGGGCGTCTCCAGAGGCCGCCGCATACCTCGGCGGTATCCTGAACTTGGTGCCAAAGTCCGAGGGCTCGCTCGGCGCCGCCGCCCTCGTTGCGCTCTCTGGGAAGCGAACCCCCGCCCCGCCGAGCCACCTGCAGCCCCGGCTGGGGCTGCTGCTCTAGGAACTGCTGGCTTGCCTCCTCCTCGTCGTCTTCCTCCTCGTCTTCATCTACCTCCTCTCTCAGGACATTGATTTTACCGTTTTCCCATCCGAGTCCCGGAGGCTGCGCTGCAGTGTGGAGGGAAGGCGCTCAACTCTTGGCAAGTCCCATGGAGGAGCAGGTTCTTCGGTCGCAGGGGATGCGGCTGCCGATCACCTGGCCTGGGGTGGCTGGGCTGGAAGCCTGGGATGAATGTTGCAAGAACACTAGTGGTTACCCTTGGGATGTTTTCGTCTGCTTGTTTTCTACTCCTTTCCAACAACGTCCAGCAAAGTATGCACGTTGTCTTTTATAAAGCTTCTTCAAGACCATGTGTGGTGGACTCCCCCCTTTATAATCCTTCTTCCCCTACCTCGGAGCGGGGCCACTTCCTCCTGACGCAGTCCAATGATGAGGGTCTGCTGGGCAAATACTCGACCTGATAAAAGCCCAGACCCCTCCTCCTTGCACCCACCTGCCACCAAGGAAGATGCTTCCATTCGTCCAGCGCAGCAAGCTAGTTGGCCAGGCTTTGCCCGGGTTCTGTTAAGGCGCAATAAAAACCGCGCAAATAAAAACGAGGTAGGAAGTATGATACTCAACAATCTATGACCACTTAGACATGCAGCTTTTCTCTCCTGGAGAAAAGAAATGGCGGCTGGGGCGGCAGGAGGCGGGGAGGCTGAAATGTGCACGGTGGTTTGTAAAGGAATGTGTAGACGTGAAAGTACGTTTTTGTGTTTCACAGCTGGGTAATTACCCATATTTCTTTGGTAGAGGTCTGTCCTTATCCAGAATGGTGAGCTGAATGATATTTAAGGGTCTAAAAACATTCCCAAGCTGAATGGGGGGTTTGAGGCGGCGGAGCGGGGGGTTTGCTTTGCCCCTTTTACCTTTTTCCTCTCCTCCCCAAGATGCTTTCCGACTCAAATTTTCAAAAAGGTTGAAATGTCTTAGCATTAAGCTGTGCAAGTTCATCAGGAAGGCAGAAGAGCTCACGTGGAGTCCTCTGTCCCCTTATAGTAATGGTTCTCCAACTTCTTTGAATATTTAACCACAGTAAGAAATGCATTTTATATCACAATCTTGCACATACAGACATACGTATCTAAGATGGTGTTTCACAAAACAATATAATTACCTATAGTAATTACCGATATTTCTTTTTTTAAAAAATGGTCATAACCAACTAAACTGATTCACATGTACCAGTATGGGCCCAGTTTGAAAAAATGCTGTTTCTTACAAAATGGCTCCACATAGAAAAGATACACCCAGTCTATAATGGCTTCTCTCTTCCTCCCTTCCTAATCATTTCATTTTAGAGACAGATTTATGTTGCCCAGGCTGGCTTTGAATTCCTGGGCTCAAGTGATCCTCCTGCCTCAGTCTCCTGAGTAGGTGGGATTACAGGCACACACTACTCTGCCTGGTTCTGGCTCTTCCCTCATTCTGTTAGAAGTGCCAACATAAGTGCTTTTATTGTAATGATAAAACTAGGAACTTCAATGAGGCAAGAAGGGGCTGCAGTGTTGTTGTCTTTAAATCAGTGGGTTCTCATCACTATCTGTACTGGGGAGGGGTAATATGGCAGGAGAATTGTTCCACTTACTCAATATCCCTTAGAAGTAACATGATTGTTTAGATTGGCTTCATTTAAATTAGCTCAGAGTCTAAAGTAGCACTACAGAGGAATAAAATATTTGTTATATAATAAGAATCTTATTAGAGTACAAAGTAAAGATACTATGTCACAGTATATATTCATAATTTAAAAACCTACCTACTTGGGAAAAATTTGGGGTGCCATGTAATAAAATGCAGCACAAAAATGCATTGATTGTCACATAGTGTCTGTAATTATGACAATGAATGTTCAGTGAGAAATCAGAAGCCAACTACAAGGGCAAAATATAACAAAAAATAGCTTAAATGAGCTAGTGCCTTCAGGATAAATATGGAAAACAGCTTTCTTGCAAATCTTCTTTAAAACTTATGTCTTCTCTGCTTCCTGAAGTTTTTACCCTTTAAGGCACCTCAGTTTATATGCAGCTTGGAGGACAAGCAACAGGCAGGTCTGAGCCTAACAGATTTGTTTGAATCCCAAATTTACCAATGACTACTTGTGTGACCTACTAAACTAAGCTCCAGGAGGGCCAGGACAGGTGTCTTATTCAACCACAATAATCCCAGATGTCTCCTCCCCAGCCCTCTGCGGGTGAGTCACATTTCTTCCATCAGCATAGGAATTGGATGACCTGCAGCATTGTTAAGTTTTTCTAGCCCCAACTTCTAGGGATTGGAGTTATTTAAAAATGAAAGGAGAAAAATAAGGAGGTACTCAAAAACAAAACGAAACACAAAACCCACATTGATGGGCTATGTCAAAGGGGAACAGGAGAAAACTGAAAGAGTTCCCAATGGCCAAAGCTGGGATAATTTGAGTAACAAAATATAGAATTAAAATGTAACCCAAAGTATAAAATATTCATGTGTCCACACTGATCAAACATAAATGACTGAATCAATGAACAAGGGGAAAGAGACAACTCTCCCTGAGAAAGAATTTCGATTATTATGTAGCCACTCCACTCCCCAAAAAGTAGACTACAACTCCCCATTCTTTAGTGTGGGCAGAACATAGTGATTTCCTTCCAAGCCCAGTATGAAAAAGGGGTAAAAAGTACTTTACAGTGGAGAAACCTGATAAACACCCCTTCAGCCAGGTGATCAGGTCATCAATGTCAACATCAATAGTCAAAATCATGGTAACAGCATATACCCTTGGTATGATGTGATGAAACTGGTACTCCGTGATTTTTCTCCAAAAACCCCTAATCATGAGGAAACATCAAATTCCAACACAGGAGCATCTTGCGCACCTGACAATATGCTTCAAAACTGTCAAGTTCATCAAAACAAGGAGATTCAAAGGGATTGTCACAGCCAAGAGGAGTCGAAGGATGTATGACTATTACATGTAACATGTATCCTAAATGAGATTCTGGAACACAAAAGGTAATATGTTAAAAACTCAGGATATCTGAATAAACTGTGGGCTTTCATAATAATGTGTCAATATTAGTTCAATAATTGCAACATAAATGTCCCATGCTATTATTTTGTTAGTGTGTGTAGGGGGGAATAGATGAAAACTCAGTACTATCTGCTCAATTTTTCTGTAAATCTAAAACTGTTCTAAAAACACATTCTATTAATTTAAAAAAAATTAAACATGGGTGGGGAAGAACCTAACAGCCCAGAAGAAGAAACTCAAGTGTCCATCTGATGATGAATGGATAAACAAAATGAGGTATATCCATATAATGAAATTTTTTCAGCAGTAACAGTGAAGTACTGACACATGTCACAACATGGATCAATCTTGAAAACATTATGTTATGTGAAGGGAGTCTAAATAGACAAATCTATAGAGACAGAAAGTAGAGTGGGGATGGGGGCAGGGGAAAACAGCAAGTGACTGCTAAGAGATTCAGGGTTCCTTTTGAGGTGATGAAATGTTCTGGAATTAGGCACTGGTCATAGTTGTGTACAGTAGATAGACTCACAGTGGATATACTAAAAATCATGAATTGTACCCCTTAAAAATGAAAAATTTTATGGTATGTGAATTATCTAAATAAAGTCGTTATACCAAATATATCAATATAAAAACAAAGAGCTGTAGCAATGAAAGTAAGTTGAATGCTTTGGAAAGAATCCATAATGGCACATTACCCTAAACAAGAAAAAAGAAGAAAGGAACCCTTACTGTCCTATTCCATCAATTCCATAGTGTTGCCTTAAGAAGCAAGTCTTATTTTGTAGCTCCTGCAACACTTAACACAGGGCCTCATGCATAGTGGGCAGTCAATAATGTTTTGGTTACTTCTAAGGTTGAATAGTAGGTTTGTTTTGTTTTTTGTTTTTCAGAACAAACATATCAGGGGTTCATAAGATGTCCTCTGGTTTCAAAAACAAACCTTTCTAAATTAATCTACAAGAAGGATGATGATGTTTTGTTTCTATTTCAACCCAAAAATTAAACACAATTTGGTCATCAGAGTTAAAGGTAAGGTTGATTCTAATATTAAGATACATTCTGAGAACTCTACCATATCTCTCCTCATCAAAGCAGGGTGAGTTTCTGGACATTGAAGGTAGAATTCACTTTTTTCCCATATCAACTGTACTAATGTATACATTTCTAAAACTGGGAAAGTCATT